CATACTTCGCATAACTTCGCACAACCATTTGTACCAGCGTAATAGAAATTTAACTTAAAAAAATGTGAAGAAAAAACCTAAACTCAACAGATCGCTAAGTTTTTAAAGGTTCTGCTAATTTCTGGGTAATGGAATACATACAAACTACATACAAAGTACATACGAAATTACAGTTTGAATTTTATGCGAAGTTGTGCGAAGTATGCATTACAATTAAAAAATTTAAAAATAAATGGTCAAAACTAGTTAATATGTTGCGGTATTATAATTATGCAACGCAGTGTACTATTAACTTGTGCTTAGAGAAACTTTGAATTGTTAATTTCTTACTTATGTATGTATATAATAAATATAAATTTTTACTTATTTTTTCAATGTGGAGAATTTGTCCTCCTGGGATGTTAAACAAGTGGCGACCAATTTAAATATGGAACGTTTGAAGCTTTCATGTTATCAGGAATAAAGACTTTTCCTCACTATAATCAGGTAGAAAAGGCAAACAAAGACAAATATCCCAAAAAAGGCAAAATCTGATGTTAATATAGAATCAGGGAAATCTAAATCGCGGACATTCTTACTCGAATATACTCTATCTCTTTAGCAAAAAAAAGGCAATTTCCATAAAATCCGTTTCCTGTTTATAAATGTTCAAATGATTTTTAATGTGAGCTCAACTGTGTAATATTAAGTACATTCCTATTCTTTGATAGCACACGCAGCACACTCGAAATTTTTTTATTGCATATACTTACATACATAAATCTGTCATTGAAACGATCATGCTTTTTATATATCACTTTTGAAATAATCATGTAAGCCTGCCTCGCTCTAAAAACAATATATCTTCACTATAATGTACTAGCTGTTACTGCCAATATAAAAGTATTACATATATGGGTAGACACCTTAATAAAATTAAACTAAGAGAGACTGACGGGAATTATTTTTATTTTTTTCGGAACATTGCAAAGTTCCGTCTACTTTTAGAAACACAAAATGAAAAAAGAACCTTAGCAACTATTCGAATGAATTAAAATACTTCCCGTCAGTTCCAAGGCATTTAAAAAAATTCGTATAATTTTCTTCACAAAATAGATATTATAAATTGTGCAATTCTCGAATAGTTTTCGTCACTCGAAGATTTCGCCTCAAATAGGTTTTTTATTTGATACTAGCCAATGCCCGCTTACTTCGCGACGCCTAATAAGAGCTTTTGCGTTGACCAATGCAAAAGAGCGTTTAAAAACAAAATTAGTCCGTAAAGTCAAAATTTTTGATTTAAGTTGAAACCACTAAGGTGCTGTATCCTCCTCACACATAGGCCAATAATAGTAACGCTGTGATACCATATGGAATACCAATCCCTTTCGGTGTCATGAGCTCTACCGTTGGTCTTATTTCCACCTGTGAGATCTCTGCCGAGCAAGCGTAATCTTTTTGTATGATCTTGCAACAACAACATTGGTGCGATGCGTATGCCAATAAAAGTTCTTATAGGGAAACTCAAAGCACAGAAGTGCGTTTTCTGTTATAGGAGGGCCAAGAATCCTCGCTGTCCCACAGGATAAAAAGTTTTCCGGTACATTGCTAAATGAGTCGTGTGATCTCTTAAGTAGCTTTCAAATGAAGCTATTGATATACCTACGGTGATCTTTTCTTGTTAATTCACCACTTTTACAATTCATGGTAAAATTTATGAACTGATTTCTGGGTAGATGCAAGACCGCATGCGCCGAGGGCGTCAGAAAAACTTAACCCCATCCTTCATTTAGACATCTGAAAACTAAATTCGTATAACTTAAACATAGGGCCAAAGCAGACCAACCACACGGGGTTTCTATACATTTCGGCTGCAGCGCCATCCATTGGGTTCATTTTCTGCAAAACCATTGCTTACCATAAAATGAATACGTGTTATGAATTTCAACCTTAACTCCAGAGGCACTAATCGGGTAAATTTTTATCAAAAGAATTTTCCATCATACAGGTACATAGCTCACACTTAAAATTTGAACGAAATCGGTTAATAAATACGATTTTATAAATAACTCTACTCCAGCACCACTTATCGAGTTTTCTAGTAGCATGTAATTGGACCACATATGTATGTAAGATAACCTCCGACAATCTGACGGAACTCTATTCAGTGTTTTTTGAGTTTATTTCGAACAACGAAAACGGCTATCATTTTATGCAAATAGGTATGTAGATAGGTCAGTTTATAACGAGACTCGTAAAAGCAAAGCTCCATTCTTTGTGAAAAATTTAAAAAAATTCTTCAAAATTTTCACATAAATTTTAACTTACTGAAAATTAAAGAAAAGTTACAATAGTTCCATGGGATTTAGAAATCTAGGAGAAAATGGTTCCCAATCGAATGATACTTGCGCGTTTACGTAAATGTATATCGATCCAGCCTGTCCAATAATTACCACTTTTCGCCATAACTACAGTATTGATAACATATGTATGTAGCTGCGTAGAATTTCAGGACGTTAGCGTAAGCAGTTCCAGATATAAGCTATATGAGAAGTTCAGTTTGTATGGAAGGAAGGAGCCACGCCCGTTTCCCAATGCATTTGCAATGTATGCATCAGTGCTAAGTCTCAGTTCCCCAGCGTCATTGGTTTTAGAGATGTATTGGTTTTTTACGTTTTAGTCTGTATAAGAACTTTAGGAATATCCCGAGCTACATACCGAGTAAATTTTTGGTCAGAATATATATTTTCAACGTGTTGCAAATATGAAACAAGTCGATGCAGCCGTTTAGTAGTTTAGTGAAATACATTGTAAAGAGAACTTTATGAAATTGTAAAACGTGACGTCTCAGATTTCTTAATTTTTTGGCAGCAACAACGAAAACTTTAATTTTTTTTTTGCGAAAAACCTTCCAAACAGAAATAAAAAAAAATTAAGTTTGTGGTTATAACAAGGCGAAACTTTGAGAACGATCCGCTNACGTGACGTCTCAGATTTCTTAATTTTTTGGCAGCAACAACGAAAACTTTAATTTTTTTTTTGCGAAAAACCTTCCAAACAGAAATAAAAAAAAATTAAGTTTGTGGTTATAACAAGGCGAAACTTTGAGAACGATCCGCTGCTCTAAATATAAACAACGACGCACTGGAAAAAGTTAATACGTTCAAATACCTAGGAATAATGATCCACTATAAACTAAACCAAAAAAAAATGGATTCTATATTTTCAATTAGAGCTCTAGCAATATGTACATCGGTGAAAACTGCATTTAATTCCATACATTAGCTTTTGCGTGATACAGACAAACATACCAAAATTCTATATTTGGCTTCTGTTGATCTAATAAACCCCCTATTAATTTTTCTTTAACATCTATTATGTACAGATATCGGCCTGTTGCAATTTTATTATTCTCAAATACTCTCGTTTGATACCCACATGGCAACACTTAGTTTTATATTATAAATTTAACTGAATTAAAATTTTTAAATATGTGGCAACCCGCTTCAAGAACATTTTCAAAAGTAAGCTTCCTAATCCTATTTAGTTTAATAGTCGCATTGCAATATTTCATTTATTTAACACATTTTGATGAATACAATTTTTCAATCAATTGGCAAATCCTCTAAAAATATTTTCAGCATTAAAATTTCCTAGCCTCTTTAGTTTGATGCCAATAATGCAATATTTAATTTATTCTATCAATTAAATTAAAATAAAGTTTTCAAATAGGTGGCAACCTTCCACCAAAATATTTTCAGCTGTAAGCCTTTGTAAATTTCTTTCTTTTGACAGCCATATTGCAGTATTCACTTTACCGTAACAATTGACCTAAACTGAAATTTTAAACACAGGTGGCAACTCTCAAATTTTTTCTTCTATATTGGAAGCTAGATCTCTAGCGTTACATCGGTGAAAACTGCATTCAATTCCATGTTTTCGACTGATTCGCGTACAAATATACAGACAGACAGAGATACAAAAATTCTAAAAATTGTTTATTTGGTTTCTGTAGCTTTAATAAAAACCCACCATATTAATTTTTCTTTAATATCTATAAGGTACAGACATCGACCTGTTACAATTTTATTATATGTATAGATGTAGATATAGATTTCATTTATTTTATCAATTTAATACAATAAAATTTTTCAAACAGGTGGCAACTCTAAAAAAATATTTTTGACTGTAAGCCTTCTTCAGCCTCTTTCTTTTGACGCCCATATTGCAATATTCATCTTTTCTTATCAATTTACCTAAACTCCAATTTTCAAACAGGTGGCAACTCTCTAATTTTTTTCTTCCTATATTTTAAGGTAGACCTCTAGCAATATATCGGTGAAAACTGCATTCAAATCCATACATTCGTTTTCGAGTGATGCGCGAACAAACATACAGACAGACAGACAGACAGAAATTCTAAAAATGGTTGATTTGGCTTCTGGTGCTCTAATAAAGACCCCCCACATTAATTTTCCTTAATATCTATAATGTACAGACATCGACCTGTTACAAATTTATTATATGTATAGATTACATACAGCTCGCGGGCATAGGCTCTGGCAGACGCTGATTTAGTTTGATGGTACTCGTTCTATCTACTTTGTTCAGTTATGGTACCTGAGAAAAAAGCTTGAGAACCGCATCTTTTTCAAATCATGTGTTCTATCATGGATAGTTAATGCTGAATTTACATGAGGCGATTTTCTAGCCAATTCAACATTGCTTAAGAAAAATAGCTCGTGTAAATGGTGATTCAAAAATCACTAGACAGCAAGTCAACTTTTGAAGGCGATTATTGCCTGTCAAAAAATCGCCTCATGTAAAGGCAGCTTAAGCTTTCGCTTCTCACGCGCTTTACACATACACTTACGCAGATGTTTTAGTATTAGTGTGGCCGACACTGCTGTAGAACTTTTATTATGCGTTTGGTAATTTTAATATTTTAGATGAATATCGCCAATATAAATTCCTCTTACACTTTATGTTAAAATAATTAAGATTTTTCAATCCCTTTGTAGCCGAGCAGTTCTCCCGAATATATCAAAAGCAGGAGAGTTTGAAGGACCAGTTACTACCAGATCTTACGAAAGTTTCTGCTGTTGATTTCGTCTGCGCTAATTCTGGCTTGCAACGAGTTCCAAGGAATATATTCCTATTCGTTTCCGACAAGTAAGTTTTTATTATTTTGGTATGTACATGTGTATAGGATAAGCAAAATTTTTTTTCGCTCCCCGTCCGTTCGTCTTAAGATAAGATCTGTGTAAAAAAGCCAGTACTTTCTAGTGGAAACTAGCCATCCTAGATTGATTTAAAAGTTGAAAAAGTGATCTGATAACTACCCAACTTATTATCGTTCTGTAAATCTTAAACTAAAATTCGCTACTAGTGTAAATTTATTTGGAATAAAGTGAGAAATATTTCTTGCAGAAATATTTTTTACTTTTTATTTTTTTAATTTTAATAGGGTTTGAAGGAATATAATGTCAAAATTCCTTTGAGTGACTCTCATATGGAGGCGTATTTTCTACTTTATTGTAAGGCGCAAAAGGCATTTTTTCCAGGAGTGTATGGGCGTATTCGAAAACGTCAAAGTACAAAGATTCGGTCATTGATTTCCAAACCGCAAAAGAAGAAAAATTGTAACTTGCGCAATCTAGCTGAAAACTAGCATCTAACCGTGGTTGGCCACATTTGGCATTACAATCTATGTTTAGGCCTCCGCCTAAATAGATTAGAAAGAGGACACCCCTAATGTTTAACATTGTGTTAACATTGCCGCTGTTAACTTTCCCCTCGCTTTCTATTTGTTTCCGTTATTGGAATAGTACTACTTGAAAACATCTTGGCAGACTACCGCCATTATAATAAAAAACTGTTCACTTACTTCTTTTGCGAGCATCCAGAGAAGAGGACGTGATCCAGCCACCATACTACAGCGTATTCAAAGGTAATCTACAAAAGCAATTTGTATATATATATATATATCCACAGCACATTTTTATATGAATAAATCCACATATTTAAATTAATCAAAATACTAATACCAGTTTGTGTTCTTTCTTTTGCGGAAAACAAATCGGCACAACTGGTTCCAATCGTTGTGGCGATTATCACTGGTCCTTCGTCGCCATCCAAGTAAAAACTTATTCTTCACCAGCACCAAATTGATCGCCAACCACTGAGCTCTTAAGAACAAAGAATCATTGAATTTGTTACGGAAGACGTATCTTTGAGGAGAAAAAGTGACCACAAACCTCTGGATAACTTGTGCGCACATCCATACACATACGAGCCATCTGTACACACAAAAGAAAACTTCTTCTATTAAGATTTTAAAGGTACGTGGTTTAAAATTTAACTGCACTTTATTCATATTGTGAAACTTGATGCCAAAATAAGTGATTGTGAGAAAAGAAAAAAAAAAATTAGTAGATTTAATTAAACAAAATACATCGAAACGCGAGTGATTTGTAAAAAACGTTGAAGTTTAAGGGCAACAGAAGTCCTTCGAGTGACACTCACACGCACATACATAAGTGGCCTCCACAGGCATTTCAATAAAGAACTTCAGTGATTGTTGTTGGTTATTTTATTTCTTCTGAATTTGCGTGATTTTAATTTGCAAGACGTTTGCTTTTCGGTGATTAGTTTAATCATTTTAATTTATTAATCACATTTTCTGTGTGACTTGCACCTTTCCCGCCGAAGTTTGCCAACAACAACACTGCACGGTTTTCGGTTTTCATAACCAAACTTTTCACTGCACTCAACCTTGTGAACTTACAATATTTCACCCTTTTGTACGAACGAATTCCACAAAATCACTTTCGCGTTTGCGTTAAATACAAAAATTATATTTTGGCACCATTTCGAAAAATAATTGCTGTGTACGGTTTTATATATTAGCTATTCGTTTTACATATGTACATACACATATATGCACATTAAGCGGATACATACATTTATACATATAAAGATTTTTTTACCATTTGGTTGGCGAGCAAAATCTTATATCAGTTTATACCTTTGAATCGTTTGAATAAACATATAAATATCATTTATTTATACATTTTTGAGAAAAATTAAACACGTTCGTTTATTAATTCCTGGCTAAATTGCTGGTTACCTTGGTGGGCAGTTCTGCTTTATCATAGCACTGATAAATTGGGTCAGATTAACAGAGGTTTTTGCGTTGTGTTATACATACATATATTAATATTTCAAGTTCGGCATACGTTGAGCTGTTTACCGGTGATATACTTCTGAAAGTTTTGTGAGGTGGTAATTACGCAGATAAAATAAAATCAAAATGGAGACATACATCCGCTTAGCCGATTCGGTCATTGAATTTGAAACAGATTTTCTAAGCACTCCCACAAGCGAGCATACCAAACATTCGCTGAGAATCCAGCAAAGCGAGCTTAGCGTCATGTGGGAGAAAGCCAAAGTTTTATTTGACGAACTCCTGGCAGCAGAAACGACTACTGCCAAGGATCTTAGTACGATACGAAAGAAAAATAAAACTTGCTACGCGGCTTTTGTGCGGTGTATGACGAAAATTAATGAATATTCGGAAAAGCTGGAAAAGTCAGAAAAGGAAAGTGAAGATATGTCACCAGCGTCGCATAGTTTACATCTTCCACCGTGCGATATTGACGTTTTTAAAGGTGACTATCTGTCATGGCCAACTTTTCGTGATATGTTCACGGCCATTTATATTCTGAATAAGCGAATTACACCCATACAAAAACTTTATTACCTCAATCAGAAAACGCAGGGTGAAGCCAGGGAAATCGTAAAGAAGTGTGACTTAACAAATGAAGGCTTTGACATAGCCTGGAAAAATCTTTGCGATAGATACGAGAATAAAAGGATCCTCGTGAATACTCAGTTGAAGATTCTTTTCAACTTGAGTACGGTCGAAATCGAATGCGGGAGTTCAATCAAAAGGTTGCAAAGGGATATCAATAATTGTATATCCTCCCTAGAAAGTCACAAAATTGACATTTCCAACTGGGATCCTATTATTACGTACCTGTGCTCCACTAAATTACCTGAAGAAACCCTTTCTCTGTGGGAACAATCGGTTGAAAATAAAACAGAGATTTCGAAGTGGATAGATATGGACCGATTCCTTTCAAGTAGGTTCCAAACATTAGAATCGGTATCAGGTTTAAGAGGAATCAAGACTTCAAAGACACCGAAAGTGCCAAGTCACAAGCATTCCTCTGAATCTTCTCATAAGAAACTTGGCGTTTTTCAAACTAGTGTCGCCAAACACAAGTGCAAAATGTGCCAAAGCAACGAGCATAGAATACATATGTGCCCCAAATTTCTAAAGATGTCTGTAGCTGATAGAATATCTTTTGTAAAAACAAACAATAGCTGTTTTAACTGTCTGTCTTTCGGACATTCGGTGTCGAAATGCACGAGTTCTTACAATTGCGCCAATTGCCATTCTCGACACCATACGCTCCTACACAATCAGACAGCACCGCCTAAAACAGCTATCAGGGAAAATACTTCAAATCCTGCAGACAACTTGCCATCGACATCCAGGCAAGCACAACAACGTAACCAAGCCTCAAAAGGTAAAGCTAAGCCTGTAAAAAACGTGCAATCACATCACGCGAATACATGCAAAGGTGTTTTACTCGGCACAGCGCGAGTAAATATTCATTTTAATGGCACAGACTTCGCTGCCAGAGCATTAATTGATTCTGGCTCTGAGTGTTCCTTCATAACGGAGAGGCTCAGACGCAGAATCAATTTGCCAACTAAGAAGATGTTGGCACAAGTTTCGGGTATCAACAAGACGGTTTCAGCTCAAGTGAAAGAAGCGTGTTCAATCCAACTGCGGTCACCCGTTGACCCACTTATCTCGATTGATGCCCTAGTCCTTGTTCTTCCAAATCTTACAGGAAATCTGCCGACGTGTGATGTCAGCGCACTCACACAACAAGCGTTTCCTGATCTGATCTTGGCAGACAAAAGATTTTTTGTGAATGAACAAGTCGATCTTGTTCTTGGAGGAGACATATATCCCCAAATCATTCTAGGTGGAATAAAAAAGAATATTTTGAATACTCTTTTAGCACAAGAAACAGTTTTCGGTTGGATACTGACTGGTCGTGCTGATGCAGCCAGCCCAACCAACACCAATCGTGTTTCTTTTTATAACGAGGTTGCCCTTGATAAGCAGCTAAGCGCCTTCTGGGAGATAGAAGATTTTCCAAAAAACAAGACACTAACTTTAGAGGACACACAATGCGAGGAGCTGTACAAGCGGACAACAAACCGGAGCCAAGATGGAAGGTACATTGTTTCACTCCCTTTCAAAGCTGAGTACCCAGCTGAAATTCAACTGGGCCCTTCACTGAAACGAGCATGCTCTCAATTTTACAAAAATGAGACAAGACTTACGAAAAACCCAAATCTACAAAAGGAATATAACCGAGTTTTAGTGGAGTACGAAACCATGGGACACATGTGTAAAGTCAACGCTCCTCAGTCGGCGGATGCGGTGGATAACTATTATTTAACGCACCATGCGGTGGTGAAAGAAGAGAGCACATCCACAAAAGTTAGAGTAGTTTTTAATTCGTCGTCTTGTTCGGCTGTTCCCTGGGCCAGTGCTTCAATCTGATCTACCGATTTTGATTCTCCGCTGGAGACTTTTCAAGTACGTCTTCAATAGCGATATTGAGAAGATGTACAGGCAAATCCTTGTAGATGAAACCCAAACAAAGTATCAGAGAATAGTTTTTCGCAAAAGTTCAAATGATGCAATAGGTCTTTATGAATTAAGGACGGTTACTTTCGGTATAAACTGTGCTCCTTATCTTGCGATAAGGACATTGCTTCAACTCGCGGCAGACTCTGAAAATCTCTACCCTACAGCCTCAAATATTTTACGTNTGAAAATCTCTACTTTACAGCCTCAAATATTTTACGGAAAAATATGTATGTCGACGACGTTCTAGCTGGAGGACATACCTCAGACTCTGCGATCAAAGCTAGGGATGAGATTTCAGCAGTCCTTAAGTCAGCCGGTTTTCCTCTGAGAAAATGGACTTCAAATAGTAACAAAATCTTGCAAGGTATACCAAAACAAGATCTACTGAATGAGGATTTCCTAGAGTTTGAAGATACTAGTAGCGTCAAAGCAC